AATTTTCCTTGTTCAATCTAGATAGAGGTTTATCAACTTTATTGGTCTTTTCAAATAAATAGCTTTTGATTTTCTCCATTATTTAAATTTTTTTATTTTATTGATGTTCACGTCTATGTTTATTTTTCCTTCTTTCTATTGAGTTTATTTAGCTCTTCTTTAATTTGGAAGCTTATAGATCATTTCTTTGAGGCTTTTTTCCTTTCTCATATAGGTACCAAAGTGATGAATTTCCCTTTAAGTGTCATTTTAGCTGAATACTGCTGATTTTGATATGTTGTACTTTTATTATTATTCAGTTTGAAGTATTTTTTGTTACTGCTTCTTATTTCTTTTTTAATCCATGGATTATTTAGAAATGTGTTGTTTAATTTCAAATATTTGGAAAATTTTCAGGTATCTTTTTGATTTCTAATTTATCTCTGAGAACATACTCTCTCTAATTTGCAATCCTCTTACATTTTTAAAGACATGCTTTACGACCCAGCATTTGGTCTACCTTAGTGAGTATTCCACGAGCACTTGAAGAGAATGTGAATTCTATAGTCGTTGGGTGGAGTGTTCTATAAATGTCAATTAACTCTAGTGGGCTAACAGCTTGTTCAGATATTCTGTGTAATTACTGAGTCTACTTGTTCTATTAACGAGAGCGGAGTGTTGATTCTCTCTCCTCTCAGTTCTGTTAGCTTTTGCTTTGTGTGATTTGAAGCTGTTACTAGGTGCGGACACGTGTAGTATTGTCCTATCTTATTGATGACCCGGCGCCTTCATCGTCACGAAACGGTCCCCTTTATGTGCAGCAACATTCCGTGCCCTGAAGCCTCGCTTGTCTTACGTTCATATTGCCAGCCCAGCTTTCTTTCGGTTCTTACTGTCGTGCTATATCTTTTTCCATGCTTTTACTTTTAATCTCTCTGTGTCTTTATATTTAAAGTACGTTTCTTGGACAGAATATAGTTGGGTCTTGACATTTTTAACTTATTCCGACAGCATCTGCCATTGAACTGCTGTGATTATTCTATTAAATTCAATGTAATAATGAGGAGGTTGGATTTAAGTGCCATCTTACTCTTGTTTTCTCTCTGTCTCATTTTTTTCTTCCTTTTTAAAATTTTATTCCTCACCTGAGGGCCTGCTTAGAGAGAGGAAGAAAGAGAGAGAGAGGGGGTGAGGTGAGAGAGCATCGGTCAGTTGCTTTCTCTTCTCTCCCTGACAGGGGGATCAGACCTGCAACCCAGGTCTGGGCGCTGACCGGGCATCGAACCGCCAACTCTTTGTTGCATGGGGGGGGCGACGCTCAAACAACTGGGCAACTCCGACGGGGCTCATCGCTTTGTTTCTTATTCCTGATTTCTCTTGGATCAGTTGAATAATTTTAAATAATTTGTTGTTTTCCCTATTGGCTTATTAGCGACACCTCTTCCTTGCCTTTTTCTGTTTTCTTTTTTACATCTAGTGATTGCTCAAGGGTTTATAATAGGCATCGTTACTTTATCAAAATCTACTTTGAAATAATATTATATCACTTCATATAGCGTATGAATCTTATAACCGTATACTTCTATTATACTTCCTGTCGTTGGTGCTATATTGTCAGAGATCCTACTTGTACATGTTATAAACTCTATAATGTGGTTTCATTCTTTTCTTCTAGTCAAATATCTTTTAAGGATTGAAAATGGGAAAAAATATTATATATTTATCCACGTATTTACCATTTCTGGCACTCTTCTCTCCTTTATGTGAATAGATTTGAGTTTATATCTGGTATCAATTCCTTAGCCTCAAGGAATTACTTCATTTTTTCATGGCAGTGAAGATCTGCTGGCTATAAATTTTTATAGCCTTTTTGTTTTGGGGGATGGGGTGGAACGTATGAAAATATTTTGTTTTCCATTTTAAAGGCGATTTTTTTTGGATATAGGTTTTTGTTTATCTATCTGTCACCTATTTATCTATACTTATTCATCTATTTATTGTCTATTTTTCAGCACTTAAAAACCGTTTTCCTATTATCTACTATGTTGCATTTTTCTTATAAGGAGTCAGCAGTCCTTCTTACTTTGTTTCTCTGTAAGTTTGTTTCTCTGCTTTTAAGATTTTTCTTTATTACCTTTGTATCCAGTGATTTGATTATGATGTGGCTTGGTGTGGTTTTCTTGGTATTCATCCTGCTTAGGATTCATTAAGATTCTTGGATCTGTGAATTGAATGTTTCATAAAATCTAGAAAAATTTTAGCCATTTTCTCTTTGCATATTCTCCCCCTTCTGAAATCAGGGCATTCCAATTATATGTATGTTGGACTGCTTAATATTGTTCTGCAGGTCACTGAGTCTCTGTGAATTTTTTTCAGCCCTCTTTTCTCTTTGTGCATCAGATTAGATGGTTTCTGTGGCCCTGTTTTCAAGATTACGTCTTTCCTGCTGTATCTAATTTGCTATTAAGTTTATTGAATGAGTTTTTCATTTCATATATTTTTCAGTTTAAAAGTTTTTTATTCTTTTTATATTCTCAAATTTCCTCCTAATTATAACCATGTTTTCCTTTAAGTCCTTGAAACTATTTATAGTAGTTGTTTCAAAGTTTTTGTCTATAATTCTATCATCTAGATCGTTTTTTTGGATCTATTTCTATTGGCTTATTTTTCTCCTAGTTATTGCTGACATTTTCTTGCTTCTTTGCTTGTCTAGTCATATTTATTTGGATACTGGACACATGACTATTACATTGTTGAGTGTATGGGTTTTGTTGTCTTTAAAAAGTGTTGTGTTTTTCCTTGACTTGCTTGGAGGAATAGCTCAATCCTTCAAGACTTTTTAAAATATTTTGTTGGATGTGTCTAGAATAGCCTTTAGTTTGGGACTTCTTTAGCCCTATTCCTAGGGCATGGGCTTTTGGGGCTCCCTTAGATTCTTCGGATGTTGAAGGCAGTCGCTCCAGTCCGGGTAACTGGTACTTGAACACCGCCCAGTCCTGTGTGAGCTCCAGTAAATTTTCTTACCCTCGTAATTGTTCTTTGCCTGGGTTTGTTGAGTTTCATTCTATGCATTCACTGCAAAGACTCAAGGGGTTCACATGGAGATTTCTGGGAATTTTCTCTACCCAGGTCCCTCTTTTCTAGTACTGTACTCCCCAAATTTCAGTTATTTTCACCTCTCTGAACTCCAGTCTTTTCCTTCTTATCTCAGCAAGTTCACCATATTCCACTTGGGTTCCTTTTCTTTGTGCCCCAGTATAAAAAGTCCCCCCCCCCCCCCC